ATTTTATATATGCACCGAGATGACCATCTATCACCCCTCTGTTGTCCATAAATTAAATAAAAGTTATGTTTAGGCAGTTTCATACACTCTGCTGCCCATGTGATGAATCTGCATTCAGTTTGAGCCAGATTAGATAGAAACAGCTAATGTGCTTGCCTCTGAACTTTGTCATGTGCTCTTTGAAGCTGAAGCAAAAGATGTGGCTGGCTATTTCCCCCAGTGGGAACACAACTGTTGTGAAACATCCAATAAGGGGCTCCAAACACTCTCCTGCCGCGAGAGAGACTGCTCTTTTAATGACCATTCTGCTACCAAAGTCTCAGATGTGCAGCTCCATCGCTCGCTCGCTCACAGCAGACGACCAGGCAGCCATTAATAGCACCACCGCACATGCTGGAGACTGGGAACACAGAACCAGAGCGGATGAAGAAGAAGGGGAGAGGCTGGAACTGGTTAAGAAAGCCTGTATCTCTTGCATGTTTTCAGTGTGCATGAAAGCTGGGAGACAGATGGGTGCAGCCAGGAGAGGATTAGATGGAGGAGGCAAAGCAGGTCGAAGCCCTCACACACACGCGGACATCCAGGCTGGAGGAGCACGAGAGAGAGAGAGAGTCGAAGAGGAGGAGAGAGGGGGAGAAAGGAAAAGAGGAGAGAGCGGGAGAGAGAGAGAAGGGGGGAGCAAGGGGGAGAGTAGGAGAGAGGGAAAGAAGGGGAGGTGGGTGATGGATGTAACCCAAGACCCAAGCCCTCGGCACACCCACTCGGACACACCAGCGAGGCCAGGCCAGTGGAGCAGGCAATCAGTGAAAAAGGCCAGAGGGGTGGTGTGATATAGGAGGATCCAGATTATTAAATAGGCTTCAGCAGGGGCGACGGGGCATCTGAAGTAAGTTGTCACTCTGCCACCAAAAGGCATGGGAGCTGTTATGTGTATGCAGGGGAGGCAGGCGTTGGTGGCAGGCTGTGTACAGTGGGAGTGGGGATACTGTCATTAATACAGGGAGCTCCACAACAGAGTGTCAGCACTGATTTAGGTTTCCTTTTTTACCTGAGCCTCGTTATCCTGCAGAGGGTGAAGGGAAGGGTTTGTGTGGACGCGTCAGGCCTGTCCTCCCCGATCATATTCTGCCATAATATACTCGACATTTCAAAACGCACCATGCAAGTGCTGACACCTGAGCTTTCATTTCTACAGACAAAAGCAGCAGGTAGCGACTATATATTGTTCCAGACCAGTCTCAGCTAAAAAATGGTATAGGATATCAACAGTTTATAGGCAAAATAGTGGGACATGTTTTACTGTTTACCATTTATACCAGTTTATACTATTGAGAAAATGTAAGTATTTTATCAGGGAGGACAGCTGAGATATGTTAAAGGTGCAAATAACTGGATTATAATCAATAAAAGGTCCAAAACATAAAACATTAAAAAATACAAAATAAAGAAATATGAAAAAGAGCTCATACTGTATATTGTAAAATAGATGCAGGATTGGGTAATGATTTAGTTACTGTCAATCAGTGAATGTATAAAAAGACTCTGATTGACCACTGACTATGTAATACATTTTGCACTTTTAAGCTAAACAGTGCATTTTATTACCCAAAAACTGATTTGTGCTGGGTAAACCAATCAAACAAAATTTATATTATGAAGAAAAAAAACAAAAAAACTTTTTTCTAACAAACAAAAAAGATATGACAGATCACTAGCCAGAGAAAGCCATGTGTGCTCACATGCCAGAGAGGCAAATTCATTTCATTACCAATTTTAATTTTCACTTCTATGCACATCCAGATGCTTATTCCCTTGTTGTTGATGATGTTTCCTTAGCAACCGGATCATTCACCGTCTCCTCCTCTGAGGGTGTGGAGGCAGAGGAGAGGTGGTGAGAGCAGGTGCAAAGAGACATTTCTTCACTTGGGTTTCCTCTCACATGTGCAGCCCACTCCAGTGCCTAAACTTTATATAATTACAACAATCTGTGCTGGGAGACAGGCTGCGTGAAATCTGATTGCCATTGGTAACGCTCACAGTGAGACTCCTGGTGTGATAGAAGGCTTCCTCTTTCAATTTTCTGAGATCTCTCAACTTTTCCTGCCGTACTCCTTTTTTTTTTATCCCATCAGTGGGGCATACATTTCTATTCCGGAGAAAAACAGAGCTGGTAATATCCAATTTACTGAAAGCAGAGGAGATGGTTTCAGTGGCACTATAATAACATGCTACACGGAGCGTGGCATTATGGAGTATGAATAAAAAAGGCATTTATGGTACAAAAAAATCAATCCAAAACCATCTTCACTCATCAGAGGAAATCAAGGCAATTAGTGTCACTTTGATGCAAATTGATCAGAATGCATTCAGGGACACAAAAGCCTTCTGGAAGTCACACCAGAATGGACCCTTTTAGTTTATAGTTGATTTAACTCAACTTAACTTGATTTTTTTTCTTTTTAACCAAAAAACAGTTTTGGCAAGTGACAAGAAGCATGAATGATTTGTGTGTTTCCTGGGGTTTTCCTGTAGAGACATTTTAGTGATTCTGGATTCTCCAAAAAGATCAAAAGTGAGATTGAATTTTTCTTTTAAAAGTTAATTGCAAACTACAATTATGACTGTCCAGTGTGTATCCTGCATATGGCCACACTATTGCAGAGGCTTAGAATTAGTAATTGTATTATTGACCCATAAAAAGTGATAGAGTGGAAAAAGTAATAACGCAGTATTCTTAAAATTTATAATGGTTCTGTTACTGCAGCACAACAAAGTAATAAAAGTTCAGCAAATTCACTTTCAAAAAACCTGAAATGTGCGTGTGTGTGTGTGTGTCTTTGATCGTCAGACCTTATCAATGAGCTATAATATTTTACTGACCACAGCTTTTTTCCCACAGACCAGGCCTCTATCTAACGCAACACTGATTCCTATAATGTAATCCTTGTAATGCGCGATAAAAGATGAGCGTTACAAAGGGAGGCGGCGTGTTTGCAGCTTGTTAACATGCTCACGGCGCACACAAGCGTGGTCCAATGTAAAGATTTTTCATTTGGATTATTATTGCCACATAAACACTGTGAGAATGCATGATTGCTGTTACATCGACATTCTGATTCCCTGTCATGTTCACACCACAGCTATCAATTAAATACAACAAATATGTGGCCCCTAAACACATGGGTGAAGACGTGACTGAGTGGAGTTCCATTGGGTTAAGCATGAGTATGTGCATGTATCCAGGCAGCTGACACTTTCACATGGTAGTACAGATATATCTTTTATATTGCAAAAGAACTACCTGTACTGTGGTATAGTTAATCTAATGATGCAGTACCAACACGGACATGACTGATGCTTTTTACATGCACAGAGTAAACATGAAAAAGTGCCATTTGGAATTAAACGCATGGCCATAAATCACCATGAAGAAGCCATAACCAGGAGTAACACAACAGTATCCAAGCAAGCAACTAATCACATTGCATATACATAAAGTGGCCTGAACAAATGTATTACAATTTAAATGACTGGGGACTGCCTGTTTATTTTTGACTAAATTAAAATACATTCACTAATAAATAATACTATGTTGATTAAATAGCAACGTTTGTATTTTAAGGCTTTTCGACCTTAAAGCAAGCACTCACCCATTCACATACACACATTCACACATGCAGACACTGGGGGAGGAGGGGAATTTGTGTATCATTCGTTCATTCATTTTTAAAAATAAAACCAAAAACAAGAAAACGAAAAAAACAACTATTTTCTTCATTATTTGTCTCAAAACCAAAATGAAAAAAAACGGATGATTGTTTTTTTTCAGTTTTTGATTTTGTGTTTAAATGAATAATGGAAAAAAAAATCCCGTTTCTGTGACTTAAACTGCGATGTCAGACTTTTGCGCCACATACAGACTAAACCAGGACTAAACCAGAACTTAACAAGGACTGAACCAGGAGTGTCAGGATGGACCCAGAGGTGCGCCCACATAGACTGATCAGGACAGACACCGGGACCAAAACTAGGACTGAACCAGGACTGATCCCAGGACTAACACAGGACTAAACCAGGACTAAACCAGGTCTAAACTAGAACTGAACCAGGACTGAACCAGGTCTAAACCAGAACTGAACCAGGATTAAACCAGGACTAAACCAGATCCCGGTGTCAGTCCAGTCCTGGTCTGGTCCTGGTACTGGTCTCAGTCCCGGTCTCAGTTCCGGTCTCAGTCACGGTCTCAGTCCTGGTTCAGTCCGTATGTGGCGCAAAGTCCGGCATCGCAGTTTAAGTCACAGAAAACAGTAAACAGCTGCTATCCGTATTCATTTAAATACAAAATCGAAAACTGAAAAAATGAATCGTTATCTGTTTTTTTCATTTTGGTTTTGGAGACAAAAAATGAAGATTTTTTTTTTTTTTTTTTTTGAAAAAGGAATGAAGGAATGGTACACAGATTGAGGGGGATTAATGTTTTGCCCAAGGACACAACAGCAGTATTCATCTGTGGGAGCTGGAGTCACACCACTAACCTATGCAGCAGGCGATCAGACCAACAATGTTTATATCAAGAGCTGCTTACTTACAATAGCTACATGTAACTACGCCGTAAAAGCCTGCAGACATGCAACGTTGTTATCCCTTTAAAGGTCCTATATTACGGGAAATTGACTCTTGTGAGATTTAAGGTCATGTCATGTTACCTCCTCAAAATCATACATGGAGTTGTGTTTTTTATTCACACTTGTTTGAGTAACCCCTTATTATTGGTCAGTCTACATGTGTGAATGAAACAAAACACAACTCTGGGTATGTTAGTGACGAGTAAACAACATTCTAACATAGACCACCTATTAGCATAATATGGGTCCATTAAACTACATAAATGCAGTGGTTTGGCTCCTAGAACATTTTGTACACAAACATAGGGATGTATTTCAATACTGAATGACCCTGGATTCAACATTTTCCAGCAGCACATGTGCAGCCAGCCTTACCTTCTGAGTGGTGGGAGAGTGTGAGCAGGCTGACACATGAAGCCCCAATCCCAGAGCCGAACACAGTGATGCGGTTAGAGTCTCCCCCAAAGAAGCCAATGTTTTCACTGATCCACCTCAGAGCCTGGATCTGGTCCAGAAGTCCATAGTTCCCTTTTGCAGCTTGGTCTCCGGTACTGAGGAATCCTGCAAAACACAAGATGGAAAACATTATTACATTTTGTTCATTGTAAACCGCAATATTGATGTAAAATGGCCTAATAAGAGAAAATGGTCCATTGGCTAGCTGTTCAAAACTGCAGAGCTGAGAGGCCCCTTTCCTCCATAGTGTCATTTCACCAAAGCAAGCAGCCATTTTTTTATTTTATTATTTTTTTTGAATAATCACAAATAAGCACTGAAGTGTGTGTGTGTGTGATAAGGGGTAGGTGAAAACAACAATATGGGATTAGTTATACATGTATGAATTAAAAATACAGTTTTCTCAGTAAGACAATGATAGACCACTACGTACTTACATACATATAATACAATACATACAACACAATATATTATTAATATTGACTCTTGTGAGCCTTGATGCTGTTACTTCATCAAAAACATACCTGGAGTTGTGTTTTGTTTCATTCACAGTTGTTAGAGTAACCCATTATTATTAGTCTGTCTACATCTCTAAAGCTCAAAATTAAACAGAACACAACTCCAGGTATGTTTTTGACAAGTAAACAACATTGTAACAGATCAGAAAATAGTGTAATATAGGCCCTTTAAACAGTACAGATTTGCAGTTGGCCTACATACTGTAAAATGTGATGCTGTCGATTACAGTATTATGTTTTACAGTAGAGCACCACCTCCTCTAGTGTGTATTTGATATAAATGGACATGATGCTAAAGGGTTGAAAGGCTGTGCAAATATGACTTATTATGTGACATGGCTGCTGGTCAAATAGGAGCCATCTGTACCTTATGAGAAATCAATGGCTTGTCTCCCTGCATGAACACCCATCATCGAATATGTCGACTAAATATATTCACTGTTGAAAATCCTGGGAATCGATGAATATTCTATGCATAGAGATGTTTTGTATTTGTAAACAGAATGGAAAAATCTAGTGAAAAAGAATATTGGAATTTGAAATAGTCATAATAGTCATTATTGTTCTTTAAAATATGGGGAGAAATCAATTTTAGTCCAACTGAAAGGTCCTACATTACACAAATTGACTCTTGTGAGCTTTAAGCACTGCTAGAATGAGTTGTGTTATGTTTCATTCACACATGTTTGAGTAATCTTTATTATTACTATGTCCACATCACCAAAGCTCAAAATGCTCTGTTCTACCTTGTGATGTCATGAAGAAGTAGTTTTCAGGTTAACAGCAACATTTTACCTTTAGTTCAGTAGAGACTGGCAATTCCAGGGCTGAAATTATCCAAATGATTCTCGTAAAGGTGTGGAGCACTTCCAGTATTACCCCATAATCACAATCACATCATAAGGTGGAAAAAAAAAGTTTTCTGTTTGAGAGAAGAACTCAACCTAAATATACAGGATTTATGTGTTAAACATGTGTGAATGAAGCAAAACACAACTCCACATATGTTAGATCAGAAAATAACGAAATACGGGCCCTTTCCTAAACATTTTAAACAAGATCATCAATATCTATCAAGATACTACAGTAGAATTACACAGACTATATGCTCTCCATCTTAGTTCAAACAAACTTCTTGCTGTGTGCTCATGTGTATCTGCTGCTATTTGGCATCTCTCTTGGGCACATCAGAGCAGGAGTTAACAGACCATCCTGTCTCTCCCCTGAGCCCAAGCCCCAGTGAATGATGGGTAATCGAGAGTCACCGCAGAAGATCAAAGCCCAGCAATCTCTCAAGCCCCTATGGTCGACTCCGTGTCCATCATGGCCCTGCGTGTACATGCAAGGTGGCAGCTAAAGAGCAGTATGTGTTATCATTACAGCACCCTGCCCCCACTGTTTCCACTACTCTATCCACCAATCTCCCATGTTTCCTACGTGGAAGACAACAGGGCATTTTGTTTGGGTAAATGTGCATGAGAACATTGCTTCTAACATGCATTTCATGGTCTATGCCTTTATATATAATAGGATAAAATGTGTCCTAAGGCAGTGACTAAGGAAGAAGAACAAAGCCAGCAAAGATGAATCAAGACTGAGCCATTCTGATCCAGGTTTAAAGAGTGCACCTTTTGTAACTTTTCTGGTATGGGGTCCATTTCCTGCTTGACTCCATGGTGTTGTTTTTTGTATGAAATCCTCTACAGTATGGCATTTCCATAGAGACAAGCAGGTTGCATCACCAAACCAAGTTACAGTTTAGATCTGTGAAGAAGTGGACCCATTCCTAGAAATAATACATGTTTTGTGGTAGTTTTGAGAAATACAAACACCTGTAATTGAATGACTACAAGATATATTTGTTTTATGCCATACTGTGGAACATCTCAGGCAAAGCAACAGTGTCACCATGGAGATAAGGAGATGGCAGACCCTCCACAAAAATAGTTACACGGTGCACCTTTAAGTTTAAATGTGAATGAATGCGACTGTTAAATCTCAACACATTTCAGTACAAAATTAAAGCTGCACTTTTTGTTAGAGGGTCCGCCCTGGAGACGCCATTGCTTTGCCAGGAATGTTCCACAGTGTAGCATTAAATGTATCCCTAAGTTAAGCATGTGACATCACCAAGCCAAGTTACAGGTCAAATCTGTAAATATGTTTTTCAAGGCATAGTCTAGCAATAAAAACATGTGTAATTAAATAAATGTAAGATAGAGAAGAAGAAGAAGAATGGATCATATAAGGTGTAAAGAAGATTTTTTAAAAGCCTTAATTGGAACTGAAATACAATAGGTTTCCACTTACAGACCAAATATAAAACCATGTTACCTGAACCACAGTTTGGCAACCACTATCCTAATGGGCTAGCATGCACGTGATTTTCACAATTGCAATGCTCCAGAATTTGTTGTTGTGACATATTTTAGTTTACCAGTTCCAACTTTAGATAAACAAACATTAGAAAAACCACATGCTGCTCCAATAGCCTCATTATCCATTTCTGGAATATGTCAAGCTAGCCATGTGTCCTTTGGCCTCTTTGCCAGCTTTAATGTCTGAAATGTCCTCTTAATAGATGCAACAATTGTGTGCATATGCCTCACCAGTTTACCTGCATGACCCTTGGAGCCTGATAAATAAATAGGGTGGTTATATGGGGAGTGTGGGTAACAGAAGATGAAGCAAAGCAGTAGACAAATTGATGAACAGATGGTCTCCCTCAGACGCCTCCCTCATGATGCCACACACAGCGCACCATAGAGACAAACAGACAGACTTTGGGTCCTCCAGTGTCCTGTCTCATCAACGAAGGACAACCATCTTTCAGGCATTAGACTGACTGGCCAAGAATGACACCAGTGCATTCAATCATTTATATCATATCATAGAAAGAAATGGTGAAAATTACTATTACTTCAACATACATCAGTGTCAGTATTCTTGCTATCAATACACCCATCACTATCTGCTGCTGTTACTAGTACAAAAGCTAGAAGTACTACTACATCATGGCAACGAGCAAGATATTTTTGTATAATTTCCCCTAAGACAGAAAATTTCTCAAGCAAGCTTCCTTTACCTTTGCTAGTTTAAAAAACACACCCAAAATTAAGCTGAATGTATGCAAAAATGCAAACATATCCATTTGCTTTGCCATTATACCTTTAAAGTAGTCTGTCCTGATGTGACTGTTGCTAGTATTAGTCTTCATACATTTTTTGCATATATAAAAGAAAGCGGTCATTAAAATGTGGTGACAGAACCCAATCCTATCTTAGACAACAAGACCTGCTGCAGGCGCCATTTAAAAATACATCTCAAATAGCTGGCGGATATGTTTTAATTGGAAAGGTGACAGAAAGTATTTTCTTTGGAAAGCAATTAAGATAGCAAAGTAATTGTTTTTATGCATGGCTATTTCTCCCTTTACATTTATATTGTCCTTTTTTCAGGTGCAGTAAAAGGTGAATGGTTTTAGGTCAAGACATATGGATTACTGTGGCTCCTTTGCTTTAACAAGGTGGAGAAATATTGCTATTAATCGAATGAAATTATGTTATTTGGTTTACATGTTCAGAGCCTGTGCTTTGTACCAGGAATTGTACAAAAGGCAATCAAATGTGGCCCAGCTGTTACCTGCATGACTGCATTTGTCAAACAAGATGTTTGTAATACTAATAGTAATGTTGCATTCATTATCACTGATAGAATCGTTTTAGTGCAATTAACTGCCACAATTTAAGAGAGTCCTTGTCGAAGATAATGAATTGTAAAAACTAAAAATCAACAAACTTTATTTAATTTTGTATTTTAATGCTCAAGCATAAATTAACTTGTGCCACTTTAGGTGAACCATTCTTTGGCAAAAAATAAAATAATAAAATAAAAAAAATCTGTGATTTGAATATTAAAAACAAAGTGAACCCACAAGCAGAAGAAACAGCATATTAACATGTGTTTTTAACAAGGTCAAAAACAAGGTTATACAACAGATGTGGCCACACCTTGACAAAAACTTAAAGAAAGAACTGTGATACTATAATAAAATATACAGTAAAAAGGACAGTCTAAAATAAATCCTATGAAAATGAAAATGTGTCTTTATCACAACCGGTTATGCTATGAGTTATGAGTGCTGAAACACATTTTTTATAAGTCTTAGTATGAGTTATAGAGCCTATATTGCACTATTTTCTGATCTTTTCTGATCTGATCTATTCTCTGATGTTGTTTCCTCATCAAAAACATACCTGATTTTAAGTTTGTTTTGCACACACACACTACAGTATATTTAGAAAAAAAAAACTGTTCCTCCTTGTGATGTCTTGTGGTAATACAAGAAGTGCTCCACTGTGTTTTTGAACTCCCTAGATCTTCACTACAGTTATTTGAACAATTTCAGCCCTGGAATTGCCCATCCTTACTGAACTAAAGGTAAAAGTTAACTGTTAACAAGAAAACTACCACTACATGACATTACAATGTAGAACAGAGCATTTTGAGCTTTGGAGATGTAGACAGACTAATCATAAAGGATTACTCAAACATGTGTGAATGAAACAAAACACAAGTCACACAGAA